AAACTGTATCCCACTAATCAATGTCGTAGAAAATTCAATCGATATTCCTAGAGAGAGAAATTTTTGCAATAATTTTTGTAAATTAATCTTCGCCAATAGAGTTACAAAGATATTCGAGTTACTTAACAACAGAAAGCGTTGAAATTGCACTCCTAAATTAAACCCCTATTTCGGAAAACAACTAGCTACGGTTCGGTTTTGAACTCGTTCACCGAGCTAGCTCGCTGTATGTACACATACCAGGTAGTGAGGTGCACATATTAACAAGGTCTACCTCTAACGCAATCGAGAGCACCCGAAAAGCGTGTGAGCCTGCTCACATGTCTTCCAGGCATTGCATTAATCACACCCTGTTTGTTCATTGTCTTGATTGCATTACCAGATTGAACAAAGAAGGCTCCGTTGAGCATCAAATCCCCCTCTGATCTCCAATTCCAGGACTTCCACACACTTTCAACTGCATAGTCCCTCTTGGTCACCTACATAAACGTATATAAAGAATTAAATGTTCAACTTGTGTATTGGACATAATTTAATCTTAATATAGAATTAATGCTATGATCTCTTTTGTTTGCTACCACAAATATCCAGGTTCCGTCCTTGACATAATTAATACTCACTTTTAAGCTAGAATTTCGAAGATTTTAATTAAATTCATCCCAAAACTATATTTTGGTACAGTAATGGCCCTTCATTAGGGTCATTAATTATTAGAAGGAAGTGTACCTCTTTGCATGCTAGATCAGGAGGAGCAATAAACCGGTTACCCTGGCTAATGATAGTAGGATGTTGGCTACCACCAATAGCATACATTTCCCAGTGAGTATAGTCATTGTTTACAACGTGCGCAAACCCCCATCGGACCCTCGGCATTCTTTGCACTAATCCACGACCAAAGTGGTTGAAAGCAACAGTTATTTGCATCACTGAATCGCCAGAATAACCATCGCTTGCACCAAACAACATTACCTGCGCAACGAATTTGTGTATTTGCAAATTACACTTCTCCAAGCTAAATGCAATATACAGCACATTAATAGTCAATATCTCTTTTAATTATTGTTATTTTTGTGCCAAAAATAGGATCCTCCGATCCATAATAAATGGTTATACAATAAGAGGATTAATATTGGTGATTAATAGTTGTTAAAAAATAATCTCAATCTAATAGTTTAAGATATAACTTATATGAGATAATAAGATTTAAACTCATAATCATTTAGTTATTAAAACTTTAATATCATATTAAAAAATTATATCAATTTAATAGCTTAAACTGTTATATGAGATTTCAAAATATAATTTATATTATTTTTTTATTAATAATAAATAAGTATGAAAGTTGAATTATTTGGCTATCATCACAAATGTAATGGATAATCTCACCTTAACTTTTAATTAATTTAATTGGGTTAATTTCATAAAAAGAAAACGAAAATGGATCGTACATCATTATGTTTGGTGAAGTGGCAATTAGATATGGTGATGGCATTGGATCCCATTACGGCATCTATGAGGCCATCTTCGCAATTAGACAAGGAGATATGATCAATCCAAATATCAGTTGAACCAAATATTGAAATCCCATCTCCATCGCTCCGAGAACGAAAGCCATAATGATCCACCGAGTCCCTAATCATCCCACCATTTCCAGCTTTAGCATCATGAATGTGGATCCCATGGATGATCACATTTTTCACAAACTGTAGAGTAATTTGAGCGCCATTGTAAATGTGCACATTAACACCGCGCCCATCAATTGTCTTATTTGATGCCACCATTAGCTCTTCACTTAGCCTAATAACCATATCATGAGCAAATATAATCCAAAGCGGTTTGTCCTGAATCACTCCATAGCGCAGTGTTCCTGGCTTAGGATTCACCATGTCATTGTCTGACGGGTCTGTTACCCGGTAGTATTTTCCATTCTTGCCTCCTATGGTTTTGCGTCCAAACCCTAGAGCACAACCTCCCAGCTTCTTGCGGTTTTTAGCCCAGTTTTTATCACATCTCCAGCATCGGTCGATAGGATTTGTTGCTAGGCATGGCCCTTTGTATTTTCCTAGGTTCCTTCTTGTGCTATTGCCACCTTCCAATGACCTAAATAAAGAACATGTACAATATTTACACTTACAGTCAACATTTTCACAAAGAGACGTTGTTTTCACAATTATTAATGTTTAACATAAACTTACTTGTGCACTTCATCGTTGAAATGTTTAGCGACTTTCTCCGGATTTGGTTCGTAGGCCTCGCGGGAAGCCTCCTTGGCCTCTTCAGCTCGCTTTTTCCAGTACTCGTCGAAATTGGCAATGCCGGCCTTTAGAGTTGAAGTTTGCATGGCTAATGCAAAGAAAACAAACAACATGTAATTTTTAACAGCTCCCATAGCTTTCTCAGCCAATTTCTTCTCTCCTTCAATCTATCTCTCGCAACCCTCTCTTTGCTTCTTTTGTTTTGTTTTTTTGGCCCTTCTTTTTTCGTCTCTGATCTATTGTTGTCGATTATTTCACAAGTTTAGGATTAGGATTGGAACTTAAACGATTAATATTTACAAGGGAGAAGCTAAGGTTTTCTGCTCGGCCCTTTCCGTTTTTAGTGATTTTAAACTTGGTTCTCCTTTGTTTGTATTGTGCGGTATAAGGGTAGAAAATCTAAGGTACTAGTGAGTGGATATCGGAGCCAGATACCCAAATGAAGAAGATAGTAAAATTAGACTCAGTGAGGGAAGGGAGGGGAGCCACTAACTACACCACAACGGTCAACTTCTCTTCTTTCTTTCCATATATTCAAGACAAATTATGTTTTAGAGGGCATTTTTTTTGTCTAAGATAGAAATATCATTGATTAAAGTCATTGAAGAAAGTAAACTCACAAAAATAATTGTTGGAGTCTTCCTAAGATCACATCCTGATTTTCAGAACAAATTTGCTCTCTTCAGGCTGTAATTGTCATTTCATATAGAACCCAATTATATGTACACGTGACTAAACGAAAAATGCAAGCCTCGGAGATCCTAGCCAAGCATACTCTATCATGCAAAATTAAATGAATCTCACTATCATAGAATTCTTTAAAAGCCACAGTATCAAACAAAGCTTTGGCGTCCCTTTCAATTATAAATTTTGGAAAACTTTCCTACAACCCAAGTCGAACAGCCTCCTGCATGGTAGAGCTTCATATGTTTGGGGTTCCAAACAGTTGGAGCAGCAAAAAACTATAGCACAAACAATTCCACAAAGACAGTTCCTTCATACTACCCTAATCTTGCCTCTCAGAGTATATATTGTTTGAAAACGCTTGCACAATTCAATTCAATATCACCGTCATCAGGTTGCTTTCCAACTAGATTGATCCTACGTCACAGAAACCCTACCATTCTTATGCAGTTTATCTTGTTGAATAGTGATGAAGTTACATAAATTATGGGGAATATTCTAGAAGGAATATTTCAAATATTCCTAAAGATCCTTGGAGGTCGTTTGGTAGTATCTTCTATGACCTTCACTTTTAGAATATATCAGCCTCCTCTTGAATGTATATTCCCAGGGATTGTAAATCTTTTCTTAAATGAATACCTGTATAAAGTCCTTTAGAGACCATTGAAGGGTATTGTCAGGGATCCTCTGAAGATTAAGTTCATACGAGGTATTTTGTATGGTAAAAAAATATTAATAAAAATATTAATGAGCTTTTACGAAAATAAAGAACAAGATGGAGAAAAAGATGTAGATGTAAAGAAAGAAGAGAATGAATGTGTTTATGTTTAAGAGCACAAGCTTTTCGAACCCCTTTTCTATGTACTCAAGCTTTTTTTTATATTACCTATCTTAATTGGTTTCATATGATATGTGAGAAGTAGAGATATAATCTCGTAATGGTAGAATAATATTGTCATAACTCAATTCTGGGTTATTAAAAAAATCACATTTTTTTCAAAATAAATATCAAAAAATAATAATAAAGGTTGGCAACATGGAGAAAGTAAGCCGGTAAATTATGCTGCAATTTTTGGAGAAAATTCAAGGCCTAATTGTATCCCATTATGCCTAAGAATGGAGAAAAAACGCAAATTCAAGGTCAAATTAAATGATTATTGGACGAATTTGCATAAAAATTAAGTCCAATGACATAATTAAATTTTTAATAGGCCAATTTGATTTAATCACAGGCCAAATTAAATTTTAATTATGTTTAAGAATTAATTTAGGTCCAATTGAAGGATTTAATTAAGTGTAAAGACTTAATAATACTTTAAATGGGTCAAATTAATTTTATTTGTGGCTTAATTGGTGAAAAATTAAGTTTAAGAGCTTAATTGAGAAGATTGAAATTTTAAGAGACCAAATTTAATTTTTACCAAGTTAATTGTTTGAAATTAGGGGGCCAAATTGCAAGAAAATTAAAGTTTTGAGGTCAATTAGGGGTTAAATTAAAGAAATTGATAGCCAAGGATGTTTCTGTAATAGACGCCAAATTATAGGGGTGAAATTGACAAAAAACCTAGGGTGAAATTGAAGAAATTGAAAAATTTTAGGGTTAATTAAGGGTTCAATTAAAAGCAATTGAAAAAGAAAGGACTGAAATGAATTTTGACCAAAAACATGATTTTGGCACTATTCATCTTCTTCTTTAAATCCTTGAAATAGCTGGTCCGATTATCTACTTTGTAGCTACATTTAATGTACCTAATGTCTACCAAATTTACCAAAACTTATACGAAACTGATCACCAGACATCCTATATGTTTGGGTATGGTCGGCACCGACTCATTGGCAAATAAACGGACGTGGCACCACTCCAAAGAGGCCAACTCATGCAGCCTGCAGTTGTAGATTTGACAATTTGATAGTGCACCATGCTTACTTTGAGCCAATGATTGAGATCCTTTTCATCTGAATCAAGGGCTGAAATTTTTCTCCAGCGTACAGTGCCAAAACTTATATGAAACTGATCACCAGACATCCTATACGTTTGGGTATGGTCGGCACCGACTCATTGGCAAATAAACGGACGTGGCACCACTCCAAAGAGGCCAACTCATGCAGCCTGCAGCTATAGATTTGACAATTTGATAGTGCACCATGCTTACTTTGAGCCAACGATTGAGATCCTTTTCATCTGAATCAAGGGCTGAAATTTTTCTCCAGCGTACAGTGGTGGAGGCAGGGGGGCTGGCAGGGGCCCCGGCCCCTGCAGGGAAAATTTTCCCAGCCCCTCTCTTGGTCCTCATTTAATACATATTTCAATAAAACAAACCTTTCTAAAATGATTCTTTTAATTTGGCCCTCCTCAATTTTTTTTTCTTACTCCGCCCCTGCCAGCGCAGACAAGATTTTCCTCTTCCACCACTTATAAATAGATGAATTTGATGGCCTGAGGGAGGAGAAAATCGGGTCCAAAATAAGCCAAAAAATTAGCCTCTTCCCGGTTTCTGCCACTTTCTCTGTTTTTCTGTTTTTCTTTCTCCCTTCAAAGCTGTAACCACCGGCAGCACACAATCATCGGTCTTCTCACCATCAGCTCCACCACAAAAGCCAACATAACCACCAACCGATCACCAAGAGCCACCGTCAATTTGTCTCTCCTCTCTACCACCCCTCCCATTTTCTTCTTCTTCTTTTGCTTCTTCTACCACCAACCACCACCTCTGCCACATCCTCAACCACTGTCCTCATGTCAACCCCTCACCTTTTCCATTACCAGCAGTTGCCTTAACTCCTCACCAGCTGCAAAGCATACATTGACAGTCCCTCTCTCTCTCTTACATATTTTCTTCTCCTTCTTTCTTCTTTCTCCGCCACCTACAACCACCTCCAACCGCCAGCAACACCACTGCAAGACGTCCTTCGTGTTAGACCAGACCGCGCCCGGTAGCCTTCTCCTCCACCCATCTCCAACTTCTGCAACCATTTGGTTGCATGCAGAACGTGAAAAGTTCACGTTCTACAACACTCTTTGTAATGTATTAATATAATAATATATTATATGTTATTATTATATTAAAAAAATTTCAAAAAACCTTTGAAAAAAATTATTATTTTTCTCGCATATTTTTCTTCCAATTTTTCATAATATCGAGTTGTATATTTACACTGTAAAATACAAATTCGGTATTAAAATACATGGTTTTTTTGGAAATATTTCAAAAAAATCAAAATATTTTCAAAAAAATCTCAAAAACTTTTAAATTAATTTTCTTTTTTTTTAAAAAAATTGTTTTCATACGGCCAAATCCTAAAAATTTTCTAAGTATATTTTTCATTAAAAATGTCACGGGGTGCGCGAGTATTGTCTGGTGACAGCAGAGGCTTTTGTTGTGCCTCCAGATGGGGGGGTATTGTGCAAGGAGAAGACGCATCACTCCCAGTGCACCCTACCCTAGGTAAGCTGCATTGTTGTTTGATTTTTTTTTTAAGTCAGGTTTCTATTTGTTTGTCTTTTTCAAGTCTCAAGGTAGATCTCTCTTCATGAGAGAGTCTCTACCTTATCAGGTTAAATCCTAATCACTATAAGGTCTGAATATTACCATCACATTTATTTACACTTTGTATCTTTAATACTTGAAGGGTGTACTTTATCATGTAATTTTATACCGATAAATATTAAAGTCTACATTTGGATCCTAAGGAGAAAAAGTTTTTTTTGGGAGAAAATCGGTATTTTAATACCGGATTTGTATTTTACAGTGTAAATATACAACCCGATATTATGTAAAATTGATAGAAAAATATTTGATAAAATCATAAATTTTTCAAAAAGACTTTTCAAAAAAAAAATTTGGAATTTTTTCGGAGAAAATCAGTATTTTAATATCGGATTTGTATTTTAGAATGTAAATATATAACCTGATACTATGCAAAATTAATAGAAAATTATTTGATAAAATCACAAATTTTTCAAAAAGACTTTTCAATTGTTTTTTTTTTGGGATTTTTTCAGAGAAAATCAGTATTTAAATACCAAATTTGTATTTTACAATGTAAATATACAACCCGATATTATATAAAATTGATAGAGAAATGTTTGATAAAATCAAAAAAATTTCAAAAAGACTTTTCAATTTTTTTTTAATTTTTTCGGTTTTTTTAATATAATATATTTTTTCAAAAAGACTTTTCAAAAAAATTTTAATTTTTTCGGTTTTTTTAATATAATATATTATTATAATAAATAAAATAAAAAAAGAAAAAAATCTACATGGGCTTGGCTGGGCCAGCTAATCTGGATTAAGCTCAGACATGGCAGTGGTTGGGCCAGTCTCGGGCTGAAGTGGTTGTGCCGGACTCGGCCCGAAACTTTTTATTTATTTCTTTAGGGTCGGGCCAGACCTAGCCCAAA